TAGAGAGACAGGTGGGTTTGGAGGAAAATGCGTTTAGCAGGACAAGGCGGATTAAATGGGAGACGGGGAAGGAGAAAGTCTGTGGTGTGGTTATCGCCTCTCAGTGCCAGTTAAGATCGCGAGGAGGACTAGAGCAGCTCAGGGCGGGGGAGGGGGCGGTTAAAACGACAAGCGGCCGATAAGTCGCGAGTAGACAGTGTGGAAAACCTTGACTTCAATTAGACAGCAGGCGATCAAGATGATTCAAAAAGCAGTGATCAAAAAGCGCAGATCATGGGCGAGAAAAAATCATGCAAAACCGAAAACCACTGGTAATTAGCTCGTCGAGCATTATGGTGTGCTAGCAACAGTTTGCTGGGTAAAGCAAACCCGAAACACGGTTTCTCAGACTACAACTAGACGGAACTGCAATTGAGCTAGTGGTGTGTTTTTGTGGTGCAGAAGCGGCGAAAATGCACAGGGCATTGGTTGAGAACAGCGTCGAAATTCATGCGTCGTCTACTGCATTTCTACTCCTGAACCTACTACCGATCAAGTTCATACAACCATTTCGTATTTTCACTGCCACCGACATCACTGCTATCGGTAACAACAACATCATCATCAACCCCAATAAACATAACCAACACTATCAACGTCATTGTCATCATCAGCGGCAGTATCAGTCGCGTCAGCACCACCACCAACACATAAAATGCAGCCGTTAGAATTGCAATCACCGCGCATGCGTAGTTGTTGATTAGGACACGCACTAACCTGTTTTATTTTGCAGAGCTGTTGATGTTCCGCCATGGTGACGGCAGTCTCGTCTTTTAGGCGCTCCGCCGGCAACGTCTCCTGCACCTTCCGGCTCACATCCTCCAGCAGGCCCAACTCGGTGCCCAGTTTACGGATCTGGCTGATCTTGGGTGAGACGAAGCAGACTGTGAAGTTTTGGTTGGGGTCCGCGTACACGCAAACATTCTCCACGTAGGCGGACTGGGAGATGGCCAGTTCCACCTTGACCAGGGAGACGTACTCGCCAGCCTGCAACTTCACCAAGTCCTTCTTACGGTCGATGATGGAGAAGCTGCCGTCCTGGTGGACCATGCCGATATCGCCTGAAACAGGAGAAACACGCATGGATGAGAGAGAGAGAGAGAAAAAAAAAAGATTTATAC